TTTTTTTTTGGAGACAGAGTCTTGCTCTGTTGCCCAGGCTGGAGTGTGGTGGCGAGATCTCAGCTCACTGCAACCTCTGCCTCCTGGGTTCAAGCAGTTCTCTGCCTCAGCCTTCTGAGTAGCTGGGATTACAGGTACCCATTCACAACCCCTGGCTAGTTTTATATTTTTAGTAGAAACAGGGTTTCTCCATGCCTGGCTTAGTTTATCAGTTTGAAGCAAGTTCTTTCTCTTCCTAGTTTTCTGAGAGTTCTTATCACTAATGGAAATTAGAAATTACAAAACCCTTTTTCTCCATTTATTGGGATTGTCTAAATTTGGCTTTTTTTTTTTTTTTTTTTGGAGACAGTCTTGCTCTTTCACCTAGGCTGGAGTGCAGTGGTGTGATCTCAACTCACTGCAACTTCCGCCTCATGGGATCAAGCGATTCTCTGCCTCAGCCTCCTGAGTAGCTGGGACTACAGGCATGCACCACCACACCTGGCTAAGATAAAGGGGAAAAGTAAATAACTAGGTTGGCAAAAAAATTAAATGATTAAACAGAAAAAAAATAGATTTTCTTTATTTTTTTGAGACGGAGTGTTGCTCTGTCACCCAGGCTGGAGTGCAGTGGCAGAATCTCAGCTCACTGCAACCTCCACCTCCCAGGTTCAAGCGATTCTCCTGCCTTAGCCTCCCAAATAGTTGGGATTACAGGTGTGTACCACCATGCTTGGCTAATTTTTGTATTTTTAGTAGAGACAGGGTTTCACCACATTGGCCAGGCTGGTCTTGAATGCCTGACCTTGTAATCCATTTGCCCCAACCTCCCAAAGTGCTGGGGAAAAAAAAAAAAAAATTTTAAAAGGCAATACCATTTACAGGATGTAGGGGTTCCTTCCGTTTCAGTGCTGAATGCGATAATGACACTTCCTTTTCCTCGTGCTGATTTTTAAAGCCGTCATCTATGGTGCTCTTAGCCTCTGAGAATTTCCATTCAGTGTAGTTCACCTGCTTCAGAATAAAACAATACCACATAGCTGGTAATGTCTTGGTTTTCTTCATTTCTTCCTTCTTTTTAAATACTAGCTCTTTTTATTTTATTATTTAGAGACAGAGTCTTGCTCTGTCACCAGGCTGGAGTGCAGTGGTGCAATCTCAGCCACTGCAACCCTCACCTCCCAGGTTCAAGTGATTCTCCTGCCTCAGCCTCCCAAGTAGCTGGAACTACAGGTGCCTGCCACCATGCCCGGCTAATTTTTGTATTTTTAGTAGAATCAAGGTTTCACCATGTTAAGCAGGATGGTCTCTATCTCCTGACATCATGATCCACCCGCCTTGGCCTCCCAAAGTGCTGAAATTACAGGCATGAGCCAGTACGCCCGGCCTTTTTAACTTTTATTGCTTTTTTGAGACAGAGTATTGCTGTCACTCAGGCCATAGTGCAGTGGCATCATCTTGGCTCACTGCAACCTCTACCTCCCAGGTTCAAGCGATTCTCCTGCCTCGGCTTCTTGAGTAGCTGGGATTACAGAAGCCCGCCACCACACTTCACTAATTTTTCTATTTTTGGTAGAGACAGGGTTTCACCATTTTGGTCAGGCTGGTCTCAAACTCCTCACCTCATATGATCTGCACGTCTTGGGCTCCCAAAGTTCTGGGATTCCAGGCATAAGCCCAGCCAATACTAGCTATTTTTAATTTTTATAAATTAGTACTTGTTGGCCAGACATGGTGGCTCATGCCTGTAATCCCAGCATTTTGGGAGGCCGAGGCGGGCAGATCACCTGAGGTCAGGAGTTTGAGACCAGCCTGGTCAACATGGTGAAACTCCGTCTCTACTAAAAATACAAAAGTCAGCTGGGCTTGGTGGCACACACCTGTAATTCCAGCTACTCGGGAGGCTGAGGCAGGAGAATCGCTTGAACCTGGGAGGCAGAAGTTGCAGTGAGCTGAGATGCTGCCACTGCACTCCAGCCTGGGTGGTAGACAGAGACTTGACCTCCACACACACACACACACACACACAAAAGTCAATGTGGCTCACGCCTGTAATCCTAGCACCTTTGGGAGGCTGAGGTAGGCAGATCATGAGGTCAGGAAATTGAGACTATCCTGGCCAACATAGTGACACCCTCTCTACTAAAATACAAAAAAAATCAGCCAGGTGTGGAAGGAAGCACATGCCTGTAGTCCTAGCTACTTGGGCAGCTAAGGCAGGGGGGTTGCTTAAACCTGGGAGGTGGAGCCTCAGCCTCCTGAGTAGCTGGGACTACAGGCATGTGCCACCATGCCCAGCTAATTTTTTTGTAGTTTTAGAAGAGATGGAGTTTCACCAAGTTGACCACCAAACCTGGCTAACTTTCATATTTTTAGTTGAAATGGGGTTTCACCATGTTGGCCAGGCTAGTCTCAAACTCCTGACCTCGTGATCTGCCCACCTCAGCCTCCCAAAGTGCTGGGATTACAGGCATGAGCCACTGCCTGGCTGATTTTGTATTTTTTTTTTTTTTTTTTTTTTTGAGACGGAGTTTCACTCATGTTACCCAGGCTGGAGTGCAATGGCTCGATCTCGGCTCACCGCAACCTCCGCCTCCTGGGTTCAGGCAATTCTCCTGCCTCAGCCTCCTGAGTAGCTGGGATTACAGGCACGCACCACCATGCCCAGCTAATTTTTTGTATTTTTAGTAGAGACGGGGTTTCACCATGTTGACCAGGATGGTCTCGATCTCTTGACCTCGTGATCCACCCGCCTCGGCCTCCCACAGTGCTGGGATTACAGGCTTGAGCCACCGTGCCCGGCTTGATTTTGTATTTTTAATAGAGACAGGATTTCACCATGTTGGCCCGGCTGGTCTCCAACTCCTGACCTCAGGTGGTCTGCACACCTCAGCCACCCAAAGTGCTGGGATTACAGGCATGAGCCACTGTGCCCAGCAGATTATTGCTTTTGTGTCTGCTTATGCTTCTATCTGTGAGAACATCTGGAGACAGTACAACCCACAATGTAGTGCTTCAGAGTTTTTATGCTCTTACTTGAGGTGTATTTCCATTTAAGATGTTAAGGCTAAGATACTCGAGTCTGTTCTTTCCTTGAACACCTATTCTTTTGCCATGTTTTCTTCTTGAGTAGCTCAAAACTTGGTGCTCCTTTTCCTTTCTTTCTCCTCCATGAGGAGGTTTTCTCTTTGCTTGATACCGGCCAGCTTCAGTGGGAACCTCAGGAGATGCAATCTGGTCCTGAATAGAAGGATCAGAGACAGCCTTACAAGATGGTAGTTTAACAACCTAGAAATGCAAGAAAGGGATTTAGGAACTAGCACTAGACTTCATTTACCTCCTCATGGAGCTGAGAGATGTTATCTCTCTCTCCTTTCCACAATAAAACCAAGATTTTTGCTCCATCAGTAGATTAATGGCATTATGGGGGATATATATTAAGTTCACAGGACATATGACATTCACAGAGGGAATTTCTTTTACTCCAACTGTAATGCTGTCTCCTTCAAATCTGCTCCATAGGATTGGCAGTGATCTGCTGCCTGTGGAGTCCTGGAGAGTTACCTGCGAAGGAACCGAAGTCTTTTCCTCTTCAGATGAGATCTTTGAACTGTCCTTGGTATTGTTCCCCTTAGTCTCAGCTTCTGGTTTCAGGAAACTCTCAGGGGGTATATAGGGAAACTTCCAATCAAGTTGTACTTGAATAGATCCATTGGGTTTCTCTGCAGGGTCAGTGAGGTTAAAATCACCTGAGACACAAACACATTAGTAAGACCTGATCACATGAAGTAAGCAAGTGAGTGTTTGCCAGAACCTTATCTATTTCCTTCCCATGTTTAATTTCATCACATTTTATCAGCAACTAATTAACATCCATCAATAATCACGATGATGATACACTCAGAAGTAACATCAAATAGCAGTGCAGTTAGAATAGTAATTGGGGAAGATGGGTATCTCTAGGATTCAGGAAGAGATAGTGAAAGGTATATGAAAAGGAGTACAGCTTGCTTGTTGTCAGTCATCCAGCCAATAAACAAGATTATATTATTATTACTATTATCAAATGCTTACTGTGCCTTAGGCATACTAAGAAAACTGTCATCTACGCCCAAGTGGTCCCGAGAAAACTTAAGCAAAATGGCTTTTTCCAAATGTCAGGCATCTGTTTTGTAACACTGATTAATAGACGACTCATACTGCCTCCCCTGTTTGGTGAAGGAGTTGTGTCCAGAAGTGTCAGCCTTTTTTTAAGCAGTTATATTCAGGAGCGAGCTGCACACATTTCCTAGAGTATCCAGAACCTTGTTAAATATGGTCGTTTCTGGCTGCAGCTATCCCACTTTCTAACAAGAACAGAGATACCCCCACCTCACTCACCCAGGACTGTAGTCAAAGAGTTGACCCCTCCTAGGCATATCCCCACAACCCTAGGCATGAAAGTTAGGAAAGACAGTACGGAGTTCAGCTCCACACTGGAGGGAAAAAAAAAATCCAAGAAACTTGCCTTTGTCATGGCCTGGTGTGGAAATCTCTCTAACTTGTGTCCAGTGTTTAAAGGAAGTGAGAGAATGATGGGGGAATGTGAAGGTCTCAGTATAATCAGGTATCTATCTAGCCATGCACTAACAACAAGCCTTAAGTAAAAGACAGATACTAGACAGCATTATGGAGCCTGGAAAAGTTTGTTGAGATTCAGAGGTATAGAATTCAGGTTGCTGGCTCTACCCACTTAGGAATGCTATCTTTGTGGCTGAAAAGAAGCAGAAGCCACCAGTGTTTCCACACAAACAGTGAGACTCTAAGTCTTCTGCTCTGCTGCTCTTGACGATATTTTAAATTCCTTTCTCTTCAGGTTTTAAGAGACTGCTTCAAGCAAGTAATCAAGAAAAGTAGAATCAGGACAGGGAGACAGGACTGGGAAGAGAACATGAAGATGTAATAACCTTAAACTCCCACCTTTAATAGATTTGTTTTTTGCAAGAGGCAGTAAAGACACTTGGGCTCGGCCAAGATACAAGCCAGGCTCTGAGTCTTCATCATCAAAAACGTGTATAGACAGGGCCTCCCGCCTTAGATATTGGTCCAGGTCAGAGGTCACAAGCACTGGGAATCGAGCCTGATCTCTAAAGTAGGGGTTGTTACTGGCTGGAATGATGGCAGTGTCATGGTCAGAAAAGGTGAAGAAACGATACACAGCATATGGACTGGGTTGAGTTCCCAGCCATCGACTCCGGAGGCCGCAGCACTTGGTGATTTCAATCCGTAGCTCATTCTGAGGTTCCCGAGACTCTGCTCTGAACTGGAAAGATGTAGATCATGGATTGAGGAAATGGCAGCCCCAGAGTGCTGTAGGTGAGGCCTAGAATCCATGGTGAGAAAGAGCTATGATCTAGAGAACTAATCCAACTGGGTCAGGAAGAAACCTAATTGTCTTCACCTGCCTGCAAACTGGCTCTGGCAGTTATCTGAGGGAGATACTACCCCCTCACGACTTACAGAATGGCAGAGAATCTACTCTGTTCATGGCAAGGATGTAGCTAGCTTCAAAGGCATTTCATTTTAGACTCAAGCCTGACCAAGGGAATAATCCAGACTAGTGGTGGTGTGACAGTTTTCTCTTTCATTTGCATTCCACAAATACTTATTGACAGTGGAAGACGGAACTGTTCTCATGAGCTGTTTGGCTGAGGCTCCTCTGAGATGCCTTAGCACATCCTTTTTCTCACCTCATTCTCCTGGGCCTTCCAGCCTCCAAGCACATTGGTTGACAGGTAGACCTGGGCTTTCTTTCGTTTATTGCATGCCTGTAGGCTGGGTTTTATCGGGAAACGCAGCCTCATCCAGTACTCTAGAACCCCAAACTCTTCTCCACCAGCTCCTGGGCAGCAGCAAGTATGAAATCATGGAGAACACAGATGGTGCGGCAATGATCAAGAACAAAGAAAATGTAAGAAATGACCAGAAAAGCAGCTATAGAGTTTGGGAAATTCTGCATTGGTGCTAGCAGCTGCAGGAAGCCGACAGCACTTACCAATCAGTGTGGCCAAGCCATGGACTTTCTCCACGGTCTCCAGCACCCTGTCAAAGCAAATCCATCCTGCAGCAAGAGTGTTGTGCTCACTGGCCACAGCCTGGTGGAGATCAAGCCGGGCTGAAGCCCCTTGAAGGTAGTGTAAGAAAAGGGAGTCTGTCTCCACCACATACTGGGAGGTGAAGTCATAGAGGGGCTGTGGCCCCACAGACAATGGGGTACAATGGGTTTCAAAGTCATAGAAGGAATAGGTGCAGAAAGTGGTAGGTTGGGTGTCTCCAGCCTGAGCCAGGGCAGCAGATGTCAGGAAGGCCTGGTGGATGTGCAGTTCGAAAAGATTCTCACCCTGATGCAGCAGAGAAATGTCCACTTTATCCTCATCTCCATGGGCCGGCAGTGTTTCCAAACATAATGACAACTGTCGGGTGCCATAAGCAACATCTTTGAGCTGTTCTAGAGGAGAAAGAAAACTGCCTATCCATTAAAGGGTTGGGAGCTCTTTCTCAGGGTAGAGGAGGGTGGACAAAAGAAAAATAAAACACATGGTGGAAGTCCAAGTTGTGATTATTTCAAGAAACCACGATTCAAAAGGAAAAGCAACAGAATGACAACCAGGAGCACTGAATTCTGATAGCCAAATAATCCAATGCCAGCTCTGGGGAGAGGTACAAAAGGAGTTATTGGAAAGTAAACACTAAACTTAGGAAACATTGGGGGCACATTTTATCTTACAGATGACATTGTTTTAGTATACATTGTGGCCCTATGAATTAGTTGGTAATTCCATAAAAGTAGTACTAGAAACACAAAAATATGAGTATTTCTACATGTTTGGTATGTCGACCGTGGAGATAACAGGAAGGTATAGACATAGTGTCTATGACATTATAATGAGTCCCACCAAGAAATGCTTCTCCTTCTCCAGCCAGGTCAGTCACAAGATCTTTCATTCTGTTCAGAATTTGGTTTCAACATAAGAAGGCAAAAAGAACTCTAAGTTAAAGAGTAACGGAGTAAAAGGTGGGAAAGGAGACTTACTGAAAGAGGTAGAAAATATTGGCAGTGGGATGCAAAGATGGGTAGACAGTCTAGCAAACCTGGGCTTATCTCCCAAGTCCAACCAATCAGAAACTTTGATGTATAGCCTGCTTCTAATTAGAGAATATTTGAGTCATCATAGTGTGCTACTGCTGCTGAAAGTCCTATTTCAAGAGAAAGTAAAATAAAATATTCTGGATACATCAGAATGTCTTCTTGTCCGAGACACACACACACACGGAGACTGTTTTCTTAATTAACAAGATTAATATAAATACACTAAAGAAAACAAAAAACAAAACAAAATATATTTAAAATTTTGTATTACATGATGCAGGATGAATAGTCTTAGCATAAAAAGAATTTCTATAAATCTGTAAGATACTGCTAAGAAGTGGGAAAAAATAGGAATGGTCAGTTCTCAAAAAGAATAATACAAGTAACTGGTGAACATAGAAAAACTCTTTAGCCTTACCAGTGATCAAAGAACTATTCACTAAAAATAAAAAAATAAAGAACTATTAGCTAAAGCAAATAAATATTCAGAAGTAGGTAAGAGCATTTATCCTGCACTGTCCCAGGAGAAAGGCCCTGATTCTGAAAGCCGTGAGAATTTCAATCCAAGGGAGAATTTCCTTTGTTGATATAGCAATGACACTTTTTCAGACTCACGCTGGCATGTATAAACCATGCCCCAGAGAGACTTATGTCCCTTTATTCTAGTCCATACTCACTAAGAAACTTACTTACTGATTTTGCTTTCTGTAAGAGGGCTTCCCTAAACTGTGGTTCCAAATTTCTCATGGCAGCAATGGAATAACCACTACTGTAAAATAACAAACATTCATGTTTAAATATCCGCTTCTGGTTAACTTGCTTTCTGTGAGTCAGATCTTTCACCACTGGGTATAATAACAAAGCCAAATGTCTTGACAAACAAGGCTGAGACCAGGCTCTGGTCAGCAGTGACTATACTAAGTACAGGAAGCACCACAATATGAAACTTGCATTCAGTGTCCAGCCAGCTGCCCTGTCACTGTCGACATCTTCAAACTGCAACAAAGATTTTAGAGACTTTAAGAGAGAAATCACTGACAAAAATAAAGGAGATGAGTGGTAAAGTTCTATTATCTAATTAAAACTCCTTTGAGGAAACAGTGACTAGGAGAGAGGGAGAAGAGAGAGAAGCAAGAGAGAAAGAGATTGTGTGTTACACCACCAATCTGAGGGCCATTGTTGGCCCTCTCATTCTCACAACAGAATTAAGCCCCTGGAAGTAATTTCTAGCCCCTGTTGAAACTGTACAGAGAAACCAGAGAAACATTATTGAGGGAAACAAGCTGCTAACATACATTAAAACAATAAAGATGGGTCAGGTGCGGGGGCTCACACTGTAATCCCAGCACTTTGGGAGGCCAAGATGGGCGGATCAGGAGTTTGAGACCAGCCTGGCCAACATGGTGAAACCGCATCTCCACTACAAATACAAAAAATTAGCCAGGCATGGTGGTGGATGCCTGTAATCCCAGCTACTCTGGAGGCTGAGGCAGGACAATTGCTTGAACCCAGAAAGTGGAGGTTGCAGTGAGTGGAGATTGTGCCACTGCACTCCAGCCTGGGCAACAAGAGCAAAACTCTTATCTCCAAACAAAACAAACAACAAACATAATAGGATAAAGAACAAGAGGGATAAGCTATATGCTAAGGATATGAGAGGCACCCTTCTTGATAAGTACACAGAGGGGAACACAGGTGTTAGCTGTGGAAGGGTCCCAAGGTAAGGAAAACAGAGGACTAGGACTTGCCAGATATTGGAAGGTCATGGCTTCTTAAAATACCTTCCAGCTGCTTGATACGGTTATTCTTGAGGTCTAGCAGTCGAGTCAACCTCTCCAGCTTTTCTTTGTAATCTCTATTATCACTGTCAGCTTTTGTTGTCATTGCCTCCAGTTCCTCCTGAAACAAAATAATGTCTGAACTTTTCTGTCTCAGTGGCCTACGACCAAAGAGCATAAAAATGTGGCACTGGCAGGGTCAAGAAGACTGCTATCGTTAGAGGGCCAGGTTCATTCACTAGAAGGCTTGGTTCCCTCACAGACCCTTCCAATACTAGTTGTGTGCTGTTGGTGCCATAGGGTAGTTCCTAGGATTGGCAAAATTTGAACCCAGAAGCCATACACTGATCCCATCACTGGCTCCTAAGGCCAAGGTGCTGTGGACATGAAGAACTTGAATCTTCAAGCTCTTCAAAGGACAGCCATTCTGTGTTTGCTCAGGACAGCACATCACCTGGCATCAGCCCTGGAAACTTAGGTCTTCATTCCCAGTCCTGTGAGTGGTTCCTATGTTCCTATTAACCACTCCCTTCCTGTACCGTCTTTGCTTGCACCTGATAACACACGTTGATTTTGCGCTGCAGAATAAGCATGTCTCTGGTCTTTTCTAGTTCCAATGTGGTCTCTGCGTGTGATACTTGCAACTCATTTAGCACCTGGGACAGTTTCTTTTCTTCTTGGTTTTGGGGTTCACTTGGCTGTAGAGGGAAATGCATTGGTAAAAGGGAGTATAAATATGACAGGTAAAGTAATAACTCTTCTCTATCTAATGGTCGTTGGTAACAGTAAAATGCCAGCAGCAGAAATTACTCTAAAATGTAAAAAAGGACCTGTATTACTTCACAGGTGCACTCTCCCTTAGTCCTCATGTTCTGTAGCAGCAGTAAAGGGAGGTTATACAGCTGCTAATGGCCGTTTGCTCTTCCACAGATAATTTCAAGTCCTCATGTGAAAAATATTCTAAATTTTATGAGCTGCAAAGAGTGGAGGAAATGGGTGGAGCACATGAAGCTCTCTATTCTCGGCCCTCGCATAGTCTTCCAAAGAGTGTCCTCTGCTAGGCACAGTTGCTCACACCTGCAATCCCATACCTTTTGGAGGCCAGGGCAGGCAGATCACCTGAGGTCAGGAGTTTGAGACCAGCCTGGCCAAAATGGCAAAACCCTATCTTTACTAAAAATACAAAAAATTGGCCAGGCGCGGTGGCTTATGCTTGTAATCCCAGCACTTTGGGAGGCCAAGGTGGGTAGATCACGAGGTCAATATATTGAGACCATCTGGCCAACATGGTGAAACCCTGGCTCTACTAGAAATACCAAAAAAAATTAGCCAGGCACCTATAGTCCCAGCTACTTGGGAGGCTGAGGCAGGAGAATTGCTTAAACCCAGGAGGCAGAGGTTGCAGTGAGCCGAGATCACGCCACTGCACTCCTGCCTGGTGACAAAGCAAGACTCCATCTCAAAGAAAAACATACAAAAAATTAACCAGATGTGGTGGTGGGTACCTGTAATGCCAGCTACTCAAGAGGCTGAGGCAGGTGAATCTCTTGAACCCAGGAGGCAAAGGCTGCAGTGAGCTGAGATCATGCCATTGCACTCTAGCCTGGGAAACAAGAATAAACCTCTATCTCAACAACAACAAAAAAAGCATGTCCTTGATCAGAACAAATATTAGTTTTATTTTTCTTTTTTTTTAATTTTGTTTTTTTATTTTTATTTTTGACTTAAATATTAGTTTTCTAATATCATCTCCCCTAGGGATATTTGCCAGAGTCCTTTCTGCAGAGTGGACTACTTTGTTTAAAGAGGGACTTACCTCACTCTGAGTATTCTCTTGGAATAGAGCTGGGGGAGTGGCTGGTTCACATCGTCTGTCAGGAGGCTGGGAAACTTCGGCTGGCTTTTGGAGAAGCTCTAATTCCTGTTTATGCTTCTGAAGTATGTTGATGACTTCAAGCTTCAGATCCTCATTTTGAGCTGGGGAGGAAACAGTCCAGAAATTTGAAACTCTGTAGTTATTTATAACTATGGTCAGAGTTGGATCAAGAGTGAATTGAGGCCGGGCGCCGTGGCTCAAGCCTGTAATCCCAGCACTTTGGGAGGCCGAGGCGGGTGGATCACAAGGTCAAGAGATCAAGACCATCCTGGTCAACATGGTGAAACCCCGTCTCTACTAAAAATACAAAAAATTAGCTGGGCATGGTGGCGCGTGCCTGTAATCCCAGCTACTCAGGAGGCTGAGGCAGGAGAATTGCCTGAACCCGGGAGGCGGAGGTTGCGGTGAGCCAAGATCGCGCCATTGCACTCCAGCCTGGGTAACAAGAGCGAAACTCTGTCTCAAAAAAAAAAAAAAAAAAAAAGTGAATTGAATTTTCCTACTAAGGTTTAGTTAATTTTATAAATTTGAGAAGCAATTCTCTATTATTTCTACAGATGGAGCCTCTAGCTTATTGAGGCAGTAAACTGAGGTGATAACTTGTACTCCAAAAACAAAACAAAAGGCACCTGCAGAATGGTAGCCTGGAAGGTAGAACACAAAACAGAAAGGGAGTCACTTGACTGACTAGGACAATCCAAACTTTTTGACAACACCACTGAAACCAGTATCTCTTGATGTGCAATAAAAAAAAACCAAAACCAAAAAAAAAGAAACCAGTATCTCACCAACTCCATCCCCACACCATTCTGACTTCTAGGTTATTAGCTCTCTGTGGCACCCATCTTCACACCCACCCTGGCCTGGAGGGAGAATGGGCATTTGTGTTCCAACGTGTGTGTGTTTTCTTTTACTTTTTAGATAGATTCTCACTTCATCATCCAGGATGGAGTGCAGTAGTGCAGTCTCAGTTCCCTGCAACCTTTGCCTCCAAGGTCCAATGACTCTTGTGCCTCAGCCTCCCAAGTAGCTGGTATCACAGGCACGCACCACCATGACTGGCTAATTTTCATATTTTTAGTAGAGACGGGGTTTCACTATGTTAACCAGGCTGGTCTCGAACTCCTGGCCTCATGTGATCTGCTGGCCTCAGCCTCCCAACATGCTGGGATTACAGGTGTGAGCCACACCAGTCCAAGTGTGTGTTTTTCCGGGAAGAAAGGTAATCAGTGTTTAGTGGGCAGATCATTTCATCATTATGCATTAGAGAACAGATTAAATTAGATGGCCCTGAAGGTCCTTATAAGATTTCACATGTGCTTCATACATACTAATTGGTCCTTGGCATGTGCTCCTAAGATTTTATTCTTTTGTGGTTCTTGCCTTTATTTTTCTTGATATTTGTTTTCCTTTGGTTTCCTATTTGAATACACTAAAACCTGATGAGATATAAATTTGATAAGCCTAAAGATTAAGGTTCAGGCTAGGAAAAGTATTAAGGTCTTTTTGACAGTATTTAAAAATGTTCCAAATACCTATCTCCTGAGATCCAAGAGTTAAGATGGAAGTGAAATGGTAGTGGTAACCAAGAGTAGTAATTTGCTTCTCAAGTATTTGGTGGCAAAAAAAAAAAAAGAGTCTTCCAGTTGCCTCTAAAATGATTGATGAGAATAAAAAATTCACTTTCAATACTTTCAGATAGGTGTGTTGGTTTACACCTGTAATCCCAGCTACTTGGGAGGCTGGTGCAGGAGAACCGTCTTGAACCTGGGAGCAGAGGTTGCAGTGAGCCAAGATCCCACCACCATACACCAGCCTGGGTGACAGAGCAAGACTCTCCCATAAAAAAAACAAAAACCTGGCCGGGCACGGTGGCTCAAGCCTGTAATCCCAGCACTTTGGGAGGCCGAGGCGGGTGGATCACGAGGTCAAGAGATCGAGACCATCCTGGTCAACATGGTGAAACCCC